ACCTAAAAAATGTTTCCGGATAAACTCAAATATCTTGAGGGTGGGCTCAAACAGTTTTTGGGTGGGCTTAGCCCACCCCAGCCCACCTGTGGCTACGCCACTATGTATATCCCCCTTTGCTATTTAGATTTATTACTTCCCGTGCTATAATCTTTCTTCTGAAGTTGAAAGAAGTTAAATAGATTGTTTGATTCAATTTTGGAAGAAAGATTATAGCAGGGGAAGTAATAAATCTAAATAGCAAAGGGGGATGTACACTTCCTTACGCATCTCTATTGCCACGGCCTTGAAAATAGTTTAGTAGTAATAATGATACCGATGAAAATAATTGTTTTTTTAAACAGCCAATGCAGTTCGATTAGTTCTCCTCATTACAAATGAGAATAAAAAAATGGTGTTGTTTTTGTTTATTTGTTGCATTCCGATGCTCCTTTTCCTAAGTTTCACATTTTTTCTCCATAGAAAGTTCTAACAGACAGTTAATTATTATATATCAGCGACATATAAAATGTATGACTCATCTGTATCTATAGTAGGCATGCATATCGGTTATAATGAACCAATTTTTCCTTCTTTCTGAAACGGATTGCATGAAAAATACGCATATCAAAATTTTTTTAACAACTGGGTTTTGTAGAAAACTTTTTTCGAAAAAAGCGCGCAATTTCAATCGGTTATAGCCGGTGTTATCGATTATAGCCTAGATAGAGTGCATATCTGATTGTTTAAATTGCTCGTTGCATCCCTACACTACACTATGAATATTGGCAGTAAGCCAGAAACTCTATTAGATTATGTTGAATATAATTCAGTTACACTACGCATTGACAATTTATTAAGGTTTTAAAGTTGTCACCTTGAAGCTAAAAATGTGATGCTCTACGAAATCACAACTATTTCGCCTTGACTGAAACTTAGTGTGCAATAACTCGTACGTATATTGTGCACAATCACCTGTCCACATGATAATTGTTCTAATTCACATTGATCATAAATGCATAATTTTTAATTTGTTCAAAATGAATATGATGATATTGAATGAGATTATTTACAATAGTTGCTGTGGATATTAGTACATCACATCCGTTTGTGATTAATTGCCGATATAAATCTTGTTCATTACTCCACTGTCCTTCGTAAATTAAGCAGACGGATATTTTTTCAAAATATTGTTCACTATAACATTTTTCTGAATGATCGTATGCCGTTTTACACGCAGACCATGTTGGATAGAGAATCAATACACTGGGATACGTTGTCTGTTGTGCGGTGTCGTGATGTTCAACTTGTGTATGTAAAAAATTTAATAATGGTAAATCATATTTTAAATGAAAATTTCTCACCACATTATCTTTTGTATGTTCAGAGACAAACACATTTGAACGAGAATGGAATAATGGCCATAAATAAGAGACTAAGGACGGCAATACATCGGTCTCACAAGACTGAATTGGACCAATCTGACTTTTATTGTACGTGGAAGTTAACTAACGATCGAATTCGCAGTCGGATAGACTGAGCCAAGGTGATACGGAACAATTCCCACTGGAGAGACCAATTGAACGACCTTGCGCTCCAGTTAATGACATATTGATCTATAACAAAAGATAACAGTACGGTTTCGACTAGACAAAATAGTGTTGTAAGACGCAAAACATATTCAGACGAGTACTACTTCAAGAGAAGGTTAAATTTATGTTAAAACAAAAAAATAAAAAATAAACTTATGTCAAAATCAATTAACAAAGCCATTTATTTACACAAATGGCTTTGGTAATTGGCAGAGTAGTTTGGTCAGGATTGCACATTTTAGATAAAAACAAATGGCGAAAGCAGGCGTGTGCGTATGATATTTTTTAACTGAAGTGGCATTCAACTCAGTGTGACATATTTTTGTGAAGACTGTCAGAGATTTTGAATAGTTCCTCTTTCTCCCTTTTTCCTTAGAAGGGAGGGCATAGTCCTAGTTTGAAACGAATTATTCGCACTCAGCAAAATTGTCTTCTCAGGTTTTGTATCGAAAACATTAGCACAACATCCACTGGATAAACACCACATACTGATCTCGAACGAAAAGGATCGTCTTTAGGTGCTAAAGAAGACTGAATCCAACGTTAAATGGTTATATTCCGATAGTAACCCTTACACAACATTTTATGCCCCTGCAAACGCTGACTTTACCGCTTTTGTTACCAACAACGCAGCTTCTATAATTAGCGTGTTGCAGCTAAAAGACTACACCGTTCTTGAGCCCACTATGAAACCACCAGTAAGAATAGCATAGAAAAAGTGACAATCCGTTGTTCATTGTTTTGTCAACATAGTGGCTTTCTTAGTGATAACTTACGCGAATCTTATTAAGATCTTAGTAAGATTTCGCTTACATTTGTCTAAGATCTAAGACAAATCTTACTAAGAATTGTTAGGATCCTAATAGTAAGAACGATGAGGTTTTTTATAGGGCATTGATTCGAAAATACTACTTCGCTGACAATTTTTGAATTTTTAATCCGCATTATCCATAGTGGCAGTTGAACAGTGTTGATGAATGAAGAGAAACCTCATATTTTCGCGTGTCCAACTATGGACCTTGATCTACATGTACACTCTCTGAAAAAGTGTTAAACACTTTCGGGAGAGCAAGTATTAGCAGAGTCTGAAAGAAAAATAACTTTAAAATCACTGATATTTTTGGTGTTACTTATATAGATAAATGAGAGCAAAACAAAGGGGTAAATGAAAGTAAAGTCATTAAATCTTATTAAAGTCTTAAACGATAAAATCTTAGATTATCTTATCAAAATCTTAAATAATAAGATTATATAAGATCTTAATAAGATAATTTTAAGAAGTTTCTAAGATTTTTACTAAGGTATGAAGTTATATCATTTTATTTTTATCTTTAGGAACAATGCCGTACAATATTTATCTCTATCTTCAATGATAACTTCAGCCTATGAATTTATCATCGATTCATTTCACTTTATTCGTTTTCAACCGATCACTAATATATTTAAATAATTCTTCGTAAAAAGCCTTTATCGTATACTGCATGTAATAACCCACTGAATACAAAATTAAAAGAATAGCCTATGTTAAATTTACCATGTGTTGTCACTTCCAATTATGAAATTTTTAACAATTGTTAACAGACTATTGAAGTAAAAGTCACAATTACAATAATTCACAATGCGTAAAATCTTAGATCGATAAGTTAAATTCTTTCTTCCTTTCATGTCAAAGTTGATACCTTCCAAAAAATTTTTTATTTGAAGCACTTTGCCTCAAGCATACTAAAGGACAGGCGTCACTGGATCTATAGATAAATGTTTTCAAACATCTTGAGTTTTTAAAAGTGTCTCAGTTCATCCTGTCTTTCTTATCCTGGTTTCTTCAACTTTTCTAATCTTGTTTCACCGTTTCAGAACAAGTATGCGAACGATACTATTTATTTAAACAGAATTGAGGAAAAATTCACAATGACTCTAGTAAAACCATATCATGTTTGCAGTTTCATACGATAAGATGTGCGTTATTATTAAGATACAGTGAATTATCTAACATCTAATTTGAACTCTTCCCTTCACCCGCAGATATTACTTCAAATCTAAGCTAAGAAAATAGCATTTTTTACTATATGCAATACCTGCACTTGCCCGACAATTTATCTATAGTAAATAGAGTATGTTTTGAGCCAGGAGATATTTATTACACAGCAAATCTTTTTGCCAATTTTCTTTTACTCTTTAACAACAATAAAAATTTCTAATGTAAAAAAAATAATGTAAAAAAATAGCTAAGGAAAGGGGTAAGAACCAGAAAGTTAGAATAATAAGCAAAATCTGTTACTAAAGGTATCCTTAATTCATCACTTCTGAATATATAAGATATTTAATGCAGTTCGTTCATCATCAGCCAAAAAGAAAAAGTGAAATTCTATACAATTTTTGACAATTATAAGCAGATTATAGAAATTGATTGACATTACAAGCTCAATTTTACTTTGAATGGATAATTATTGATTACAATTCTTTTGCAATGTATTTAAGGCAAGATAAAACTGCCCCAAAAAATCGACAGAATCCGCTTAAAAGACGTTACCTACCAATAGTACCTTGGTACGCGGACTGACGACTAAGTGCATCCGCTAATAGCGGATAGTGTCTATTATAGTGTCTTTTAGTGACACTATAATAGTGTCACTAAAAGATATGGGAAATTCAAAATTCGAACTGAAATTCATTGGATGAAAATTTTAGATTTAAATTAGCTTCAAATAACATTTCATTTCCCCATATTTTTTTGTTATGCTCAAGCGCAGCTACTGAGATCTCCGATGAGGGCGCCACTAACAGACTGTGCTGGAGATTCATCGTGCGGCGCCCTCATCGGAGATCTCAGTTGCTGCGC